AAATCTTGAATAAAACGATAAAGAGGACCTGTAACACAAGACAGGTCAATCCCTATAACACTCTCACCAACCCCAAAACCAACCTTACCAAACAATAGTTCATGATCTTTCAATGATTTATCCCTTTATACCCAGTTTACATAAGACATAAAACCAGACCACCCAATCTTATGGGAACCTGTCTAGCTCAACCATAAAATATACACAAATACATGACACCACAAGTTTTATCTTCTTTGGACATATGACTAGGCCACCCTAGTCGCTCTGAACTGTTTAAGTATCCCAGTTTTATATCATTATCTTCACTTAGTCTTTTGCGATAGCATATAACTGAACCGATCATCTTTAGCTCAAGATTCAATCTGCCCCTTCGTACCACAATTTTTTTCTTAGTTAATACTCTCTTCAGTTTGTGATAAGCTATAGCAGACCACCCAAACTTATGGAACACTGTCTGACTAGCCTGTTTATAGATAAAATAATAATAAAGTATAGCCAAGTTATAGCCTTTTTGTTCCATATTGTGAGTGACATTGGACCAAGACCACTCAAACTTATGGAACAAGTCTGGTCCTCTGGCAAATCCTTTCTCTTATCCAAAGCAGGAACAAACCGAGTCATCCAAACTTGTGGAACATGCTCAAACCTCCTCGTTCAGAACAAAAAGAAGCTGAAAGAAACTCAAAGTAAACAAGGCGACCAAGCCACCCAAACTTATGGAACATGCTTGGTCCCTGAAAAGTCAATCACAATCAACCCTCGCAAGTCAGAGCAACCAGATCACCCAATCTTATGGGAACCTGTTTGGTCCTTCGGCCAATAAAAAAATAAACATAGCACTGACCCCTCCAATCTTATGGAGACTCTCCCAGCCTTTGGTTGACGTAGTCAAACACAAGCAATAAGGCATTCCTCTCATCCTTCCCCCAGATGCAATCCCACAATCTGCCTTCAGTCAGATAACAACAGTGAAGTTGACATTACTCATACATTCCTTTATTTAAGTGTCGTTTAAGTCCTCAAGTCAAACTGAAAGTCAAAGTAGGGGGACAAGTAATATACTTAGTCAAACATAGCAAGAAATATAGTTAGGGGTTATATTGGGTTTATAGAAGGAAACGAAACCTTTACCTCTCAGTTCCCTGCCTCCAGAACTCCTCTTGAGTTCCGATAGAGTTCCCACAATCGGTGGACAGATTCCCTACAGAGTCGTGCTGCGGTTCTACGGGTTGCAATCTCGCCTGCCGCCTTCCTCTCAGAACAAGACTAGACTTAGAGTAAGAAAGACAGAAGGAGGGGTTTGAGACTCTTGAGATACAGGAGAGGGACAGACTCAACTCCCTAGAGAGGGTCTTGTTACCTTCATGCGCCTGAGGGCCCCGCACCAGGACGCGCAGCTACAACTTGGTCAAATGAAGCCAACCACCAACTGTAAATTCCCTGTCAACTTTGTCATTCATAGCAACGACCCCACAAATCGCAACCCCATGCCGTAGCAAGTACGACGACACTCAGCATCTGTAACACCATAGCTTCGGGCGAAGTAAGCGTCTCCTGCGGTTAGTCTTCTTGCTGCTCCGTCGATGTGATAAACCGTGTTTTTCGGCCAGAAGGTAGGTATGCACCTCGGTCGGACATTCACGAAACTTGATCTAACATGATTAGACAGAACGGGACTCAAAAACTTTGTCCCGGTAATCCTATGAGATCGTTGCTGTAGGTACCACGAACGGCTGTGAAGAATGAGGAGAGCGTCTTCATGACTCAAAGTGATCGCGACTAGGGAGCCATGGTGACTAAGTAAATCCCTTGTCTTTCAGGGAGGTTAGTTTGCACCGTAGGCTCGGTTATGAAACGCCAGTAGCAGATCATGCGTGGTTTCAAATGCGATGATTTTTCTGCGAACCTCGCAGTACAACTTACCACTATGTCGAACCTCCCATTCAACTCTTATTATACTAACAAGTACATACCCGCTTGATTGTCCCTTCCTAACACATCATCTGGTACGTACCTCTAGCCCCTACCTACTCTCTTCTTCCCTTTGACGTTCCTTTCTTTAAGCTCTCCAAGCATTTTTCCTGCAGCCTTCGTTTTATATCTCCAAGTAAACGATGTGAAGATAACTGAGAGCAGATACGGTCACTACGATGAGCATTGTTTTCTGGTGCAAAGCAGATGCAGCAAGCGAGCAGCAAGGTGGCCAGTACAACTCTTTAGCGTGAACCCGACTACCAGGTAAGTTAAATCGCTCCCCTTTGTTTCCCTGCTTCTCACCTAATATGTGAAATGGAAATGAATCTCCCGCTAAAACCTGGGTAGATTCATCCCTCGCCCCCTTTTTTCACTGCTCTTCCCACGCAACACTTTTTGTCCCACTTTCGAACTGACTCCGCCATCTGATTTGCCTCATCCAATAATCTTTGTTCGCCATCTCTCTTTTCTTAAATTCGCACAGAATTGAGCGAGAAATGATCGTCCCCTCCTTCTCCTTCTCTATAGCTAGGTGCACCACTTTTCTTCTTAGCTTCTACTACACCCCTCCTCGCACTAATCCGACTCCGAATCCGGGGTTGCCCGCCATGAAAACCCCCTTTTTTACCCGATCTCATCGAGAACGAGGGAAATCTCGATCTTACATTTTTCACCACATCTACTCGCTTCAACACTACCTCATAGTCCTTTTCCTTACTAACTCCTAATCTACTAACCTTCGTTTGATTCTGGCCTCAAAATCAGGTTCGCCAGGCCCGAGAACTCCCAATTCAAACCCTCCCTCGCCCGTTTTCATCGAGAAACGGGCGAGATCAACAAGCTTCCCCAACTTCGTCTTCATTTTTCCGCCATCTCCCTTCCGTCATAGCTTGGCGCACCGGCTTTCTCTTCTACCTCCTAACCCACCAACTCATTATCAAAACTAACATTGAATTCGTATTCGCCTGCTCCCAAAACCCCAATCCTACTTTTTTCCCTCCTTCAATCCATGAAGGATACAGTGCGTTAAGCAACTCTAATCCCGACCATAGCTACTCCTCTCATGGTCCACACACATCCGGTGCGACTTCACGTCCGGATTCATTCACCTGTCGATTACTCTACTTCGCTGACTTAGCGTCCGTCGCTCCACAGTCTTTTCGTTCGCTGCTGCTAGCGCAGCGCCTGGTGGTCGCAGTGACCCGACCCTATTGCCCCGACAGTCCTTGCCACTCAGCTCTTCGCTCTTCTTACTAGTATCGGTCCGCTAGCGCCTTAGCGCAGCGGCTTCCCCAGCTAATTCGACCAACCCGAGGGAGACTTCGGGAACGATCAGCTACAGCGTGGTCCAGTCAGTCTCTCACCCCCATACCTGGAGGGTGACGACCGGCCGGCTTGGCTGCTATCGCACAGCCTCCGCAACACTCTCCTCTGGGTTTCCTTTGGGACGCCTCCTTCAACCAGGCCCCGCCACCCCTTTAGCCTCTCAACGGACAAACCCTTCCCCGACTTTTCTATAGCAGGCCGCGGAGCCAAGGGCGCGGGTCTGCTATGTGCCCAAGCACGGGCCTAGGTGAAACGGCCTGACGCAGATCTTTGTGGTAGCGACAAATATTCACAGTAGAACTTTAAAAACCGAAGTGGAGTAATGTCCTGCAGGGACCGCAACTACAATAACCTGAAACTCCCCAAACATTGCCCCCGGGCCGCCGCTCTGTCCTCGCTTCGGCCCCAACGAGCATGTTCACTCTAACTTCTCACAACAGACTATGAGCGAGCAGCGGGCGCCGTTACAGAAAACTCCCGCAACCCAGACCCCTTCCGCCTCGTGGGCTTAGTCACCCACCAGCTCGCGTGCACGATGATCTTTTTGATTCGTGTTCTTCAAGATGAACAGGATGGAGGAATTTCGCCAACACCTCAAACACGCAGGAACCCATAAGGAAAAAAACAAAGGAGGCGAGCGCTCAAGATCCTCGACTGCCGTGACGACCTCCAAATCCAGCGTCGCGCCTGATTCAATTAGCAAAGACTGACCGAAAAGAACCGCTGACTTGACTGACTTGGAGAGACGACGCTGGCAGAGCTATGCTGTCTGACGACGGGCGACCCGAGGGACTGTGACCTGAGAGTCCCTTACGCCAAAAGTGGCGAAGGAGAAATGACTCTCCTCATACCGGCTGATGAAGTGACCTGTCTGCTTGCAGATTCGCTTATGCACTGAGCGCTGCTGGAAGGCGCACAGCGGAAGGAGGATCGCAGAAAATCCAGCAGATCCAACAAGTCCAGCAACCTACGTCCACTGCTGCGCTACCGGTCACTTATACCGTCGCGGGCAGTGGGAGTAGTGCCGTCCGGGCTGGCGACGTCCAAATGCAGAGGTCCCTTGGTCCCACTCAATTCTCAACCAAACAGCCTGCAACCTCTGAAGTCCAACTGCTGGGTCCATGGTCTTGATCTTGCCAAAATAGGTTGGGTCCCACGCCGAGACAATACTTTGTCGAGGATTTCCAATGCATGTCGTAGAATGTCGTAGATGTCCGAAATCCAGGGCTGCTGCAAAAACCTTGCCACTGAGGGAAGTGAGAATGACCTAAAACTGTTAGGGCCTCGCCACACAGCCTGTCGAAACGGGAAAAGGACAAAAATGTGGCAGGTGCATCTGGCCATGTTCTAGCGTGAATGTCATTCTCGTTTTGCACATTTCGACAGCCTGTGTGGCGAGGCCCTTAGTGTGCAGATGGTAACTGAGAAGTCGAAAAAAGGCAACTGTGTGTAGTTGCAGGACAATTGCGCGCTGACACTGGGTATAGCGGGTCTAGATGCAATTTTCCGGACATCATTCGCAGCCATGTTCCAAGTGAGTTATGGGCCTCGCTCCCTTACCCTGGACATGCACAAAAGACAAAAAAAACCATGCCGGCGAATCTTTCCATGTTCTGGCGGAAGATTCCCTCTCGTTTTGCACATTTCGAGAGTAGAGGACCGAGGCCCCACAAGTGTGAGAGCTATGCCCGTCGCCGACGCGCGACACAAGATTTCCGTTCTTCAGCAGCGGGCGATCGGTCGTGGGCGATCGGGGTTCTGTGAACTGAGGAGGATCGCGCGCGCTGCTGGGCAGGTCAGGTACCACATTGTGAAGGGGAAAAAGGGCCATCTGCGCCCGACGTCCCGCCACGTCGCTTGCGCGTTGTGTGACTAAGCGGGGAGGGGCGGCAGTTGGCGTTGCTACTCGTATCCGTCGATCCCATCAATCCATCCATCCATCGAACGCAGGCAGACCGTTCGTCATTCCGCATCTGTCGGCGAGAACGGAGCGTGGAGGAGGAGGAGGAGGAGGATGGGAGGTGGTCATGCCGGGCCGGGGGTGACATTTGGCGGTCTGACTCTCCACCCGGCGAGGCGATGGCAGACACGTGTCGGTCAAGGGATGTGCGCAATGATGTGGCTATGGATTTTCTACAGAGCTAAGGAAGATGGGGCGGCGCTCTTGGGGCTCCGTCATCCTTGGGAAGGCCATGGCCATGGCCATGGAAACGGGCACGGGCACGGGCCCGGGGAGGGGGGGCGGGGGGAGGGAGGTGCCAGCGGACATGGGAGCGGAAAGTCCGCCGCGGATCATTAGGGTGAAGTCCCACTTCACGCTCGGACGTTACTGGATGTATCCGACTGGAATTCCAGCCTGACCTGAACGTATCTGACCGCAATTACGTCCAGAGATCCGTCAAAAAGGTCCTAGTATGAGTATGCTCTCAGAGTGTTCGCAAAGCGAGGGAACGGAAGGGAATACTCCTGACGGCCAATGGGATGGATGCAGCATGATCGGACGGTCACATTCTCGTATCGGGTTGACTGGACGCTCTTGGACAGGAACCGGGTCGCAGATGCGGTCAGATACAGGGGTGTGAAAATGCACCAGGGCGGGGTATTGTAAGCGGGAGCGACCGGTAGCTGCCGTGCGCGGGACATACGCGGACGAGCAGTCGTGCGCGGGACATACGCGGACGAGCAGTCGTGCACGTGAACTTCATGGCGGGAATGGGATGACAAGGGAGATGGCGGGAAAGAAGGAAGGTGGACAGGAACAAGGAAGGTGGCGGGAAAGAAGACGGAAGTTGCATGGCGGGAGATGTAATGTCTGGTGGAACCGAAGCATGGTCCAATCGAAGGAAAGCCTTATGAACAAAAAAGAAAAAAAAAAACAATCTTTGGTTCAATCGAAGGAAAAGCGCGGCTGCTTGGAATGCGAACGGCGACCGTGCGTGGTCCGGCTGCAGGGGATCGTTGACAGGGCGCTGTACGGAGAAAGGGGCACAGCTGGGAGAGAAGGAAGAGGGAAGGTCCTGTATTGTGGGGCAGGGGGGGGGAGGGGGATGCACAGAGACGGAGACACACACACACAGACACACAGAGAGAGAGAGAGAGAGAGAGAGAGAGAGAGAGAGAGAGAGAGAGAGAGAGAGAGAGAGAGAGAGAGAGAGA